TTGGCTAAACTAGGGAAACTGTTACCCCGAAGAGAGCACTCTAGGGTCAGTCCTCCTCCGGGAGTAGGGGAACAAGTCGGCTTCCTGGGGCTGCTCCGGGCTCCTACAGTTTCGCCAATACCGGATGTGGGGGAGGGGAGGGAGGCTGGTTGGGAAGAGGAGCAGGCGCCGTGGGGGTGGGGTGAAGTAGGGTGGGGGTGGGGTGAAGTAGGGTGGGGGTGGGGATGGGGTGAAGTGGGGCGGGTGGCAACAGTGAGGCAGGAGCCTGGGGCTTCCAGCCCGCCCCGGCGACGGCAGCGGCCGGGGGGTGGGGGGGTGGGGGTGTCGGTACCGCGGGGCCGAAGGACCCGCTCTGACTTCCCGGGCTAGGCCGAGACCCACGGGCGAGGGGAGGCCGCGGCCACTCCCCTCGCCCTCTCCCCCACCTCCCCGGCCCCAAGCCACCCGGGAAGCAAAAAAACGGGTCTAGTTACCAGAGAACAGAAACTTTACCAAACCGACGACACTATCCCCGACTCCCGCTTGCTGCCACGTCTTTCTTCTTTCTTAGCCGCTGCGGCCCGCCGTCCTCTCAGCAGCACCAGCAGAAATCCGAGACTGCCAGCGTCAAAGATGGCGCCCGGCTACAGGCTCAGCGCTAAGACCCGGCCAGTAAAAGTGCCAGCGCCACGCAAGGCGCGAGGATTCTGGGAGCTGTAGTTTCCTCTATGAGTCTGTGCTTAATATGGCTTCCCTGGGTGGGAGGGTCACGTGAGAGGGGAGGAGCTAAGTCGCGGGTTCCCTTCCTTTACAAGGAAGGCGTTTTAGAAATTTAGAGTTTTTAGAAATGATCTTTGAAAACAGATTTTTAAAATCCAACTGACGTAATAAGCGAGAAAACCGTGAGAATTGTTTCTACCAGACAGGTGCTCAGATTCATCTGACCACAGTGTTTGATTAAAGAATAAATCCTACAAATCCTGTATAAATTTGATTTAGAAATAAACTAGTTTTCTTATGCGAAGTTGAAGGCTTTGTGCATTTATTTTTATTTGAATAGGTGAATAGGATTTGGGGGAGTTTATTTTTTATTTCTTTAAACAAATTTTCATGTTGGAAAAACAATTCATGCTCATTATGAAGGTCACAAGGGTTGAGGTATGAAAACTAAAAACCTCAGTGGCCTACTCACTTCATTATTAACATCAGCCAGTGTTTTCCCATTTGAATGTCTTTACTTTTTTCCTCCAATTATAAAAATAATACATACAAGTTTTTTATGTGAATAATAAAGAAATATAAAGAGTAGAAAGTTTAAATCTCCATAATCTCATTCCTGAGAAATAATATCTGATTAATTTAGCATGTCTTCTTTTTTGTATACAATACACTTAACTATACTACATTGTTATAATAGGAGACCAAGATCCCCCTGGGTTATAGGCTCAACAGAACTTGCTTAGGTGGCAACATTTTACTGAACTTGGATGAAGGATATGGTTCTGCTACTACGAAAGGATACACTTGATGATAAAGCAATTGGGACTCCAGGCACCTTTTATTTCCTCTTGGGCTTGCTCTGCCAGCTACCGGGTTGGTGAGGGAATCCCAGCCAGTCCAGGACTAGGGGTGTATCAGGTCAGGCGGGTGCCGAGTCTCTTCACACTTCAACTTTTATCTCCTTTCAGAGTGAGAAGCAACAACATTAGAATCCTAGCCCCAATCCCTGCCTTACATGACAATACTCTGTGATTGCCATGACAACCAGCCCTAACAAGCAGGTTCTGGTAACCAGTTTCTGTCTGTGTCCCAACACCTAGGGTTTAAACGAAGGCTTTCCAAACAGCTGAAGTGTTTTCCAGACTAGAGTTTTCCAAGCTGCATCCTGATCTGATTGAGGTGCTACATACAGTGTTATAATAAAAAGCAATAGGCCCCCAGATGGAATCACTAATGCTAAGTACCACCAAGACTTAATACCTAGCCTGACTGCAGTTTCAGCCTCTCTCAGGAGTGAAACTTTAAACCAGTAAGCCTGAAATTTCCCAGTAAGCACTAGTGAGCCATCTGCCTGATAAGAACCTCACTACCTTTCTCTAAGAAAAGGTAATAACCTTTCCCAAAATAACCCTCTCTTTTAACTTCCTTGTCCCGCCTTCTTTCTGCCTATAAAAACCTTTCTTTTTGTACAACCCCTCAAAGCACACTTCTTTTTTAATTTTAATTTTTTTAAATTGAAGTATGGTCAGCTTGCAATGTTGTGTCAATTTCTGGTGTACAGCATAAAGTTTCAGTAACACATAAGCATACATATATTCCTTTTCATGATAGGTTACTATAAGACATTGAGTATAGTTCCCTGTGCTTTAGATTATAAACTTGTTGCTTATCTGTTTTATATACAGTAGTTAGTATCCGCAAATCTCAAGCTCCCAGTTTATCCATTCCTACCACTTTTACCCCTAGTAACCATAAGTTTGTTCTCCATGTCTGTGAGCCTGTTTCTGTTTTGCAAATAAATTCATTTGTGTCTTTCTTTTTAGGTTCGACATATAAGTGATATCATATGGCATTTTTCTTCCTCTTTCTGGTTTACTTCACTTAGAATGACAGTCTCGAGGTCTATCCATGTTGGTGCAAATGGCATTATTTTATTCTTTTTATAGCTGAGTAGTATTCCATTGTGTGTGTGTGTGTGTGTGTAAATTGTACACATATGTATATACACCACAACTTCTTTATCCAGTCATCTGTCCATGGACATTTAGGTTGCTTCCATGTCTTGACTATTGTAAGTAGTGCTACTATGAACATTGGAGTGTATGTGTCTTTTCAAATTAGAGTTCCCTCCAGATACATGCCCAAGAGTGGGATTGCTGGATCACATGGTAATTCTATTTTTAGTTTTTTAAGGAATCACCATACTGTTTTCCATAATGGCTGAACCAAACTATTATTCCCACCAACAATGTAGGAGGCTTCCCTTTCACCACACCCTCTCCAGGATTTATCATTTGTGGACTTTCTAATGATGGCCATTCCTCAGAGCATCCTTCTATTTGTTAGACGGATGCTGCCTGATTCATGAATCATTGAATAAAGCCAATTACATCTTTAAATTTACTCGGTTGAAGTTTTGTTCCTTAACAACAGTTATATTTCATCAAATCTATGGTATCATTGACTGTAACATGTATCTTATTTTACAGACCTCTAAGAGGAAAAAATCTGCCAGTTAAACTCTTACAGGCCATTGATCAGAGATGTTGAAATTTAAAAGGATGTTCATCTTAAAATGAATGAAATACAGTAATTTTAGACTAAGAACAGGCTAAAACTATGCATATAGTTTTGCAACTTGCTTTTTTTTCCCACTGTACAATGTATCCTGAATATCTTTTAATGGTCATCAGCACTCAGAGGCCTACCATATTCTTTTTAACAGCTCTCATACCACAGTAAGGCTGTTTTGCAGTAAAGTTCATCAGTCTGTTTTGATGGAAATAATCACATTTCAGTCTCCATTAGTCTCTCTCATAGGGGAAAAGAAAAATAATGGAGTAATAGGGACATTAAAGAGGGCAGAAGTTAAAAGCCTGGGGCCATTAAAAAGAGGGAAAACTAGTCCAGAGATCCTCTGAAGGCCAGATGAGAGCCCACATGGGGATTCCTCCCCACCCTGCTGCATCAATTTACACAGAGTTCCCAGAGGTGGATGTGGGCTTGCTCTCTGTATGTTATAAGGGAATAAATTATCTAGACCAAGGACACAGTGACAGATTTTTCCCTGCTCACTTTAATTCTAGCTGAATTTCAAATGATCTTTAGACCTCATCAGTAAGGGTAATTGAAGAAACATTTTACAATACCCAATGAGAGAACAAAGTTTTAAAAAGCCCTCTAGAAAAAGAATGCAAAATTATTGAGACAAAAGTGAGTATTTAGACTAGGAAAGGAAATCACAGTAAATTACATATTAAAAAAAAAAAACTTGTACCATATACATTACATACTCCAAAAAGTCAATTTTTTAACCAATAAATTCTGTAATCCTCTATAATAGATTTTTCTATATATTTAGCTGCATACTCTTTGATTGCCTCTTCATATGACAATTTGGTAATATTTTCTATAAAGAGAATAAAAAAATCAGTCTTTCCTCTGGCATCTTTAATAAAAATAATTTTATCAATGATAGTCTAGAAAAGTCTCTTCTTTCACAACTTATTGGTAAAATTGGTGAAAATGATAGGATTGTTGTTAAATTTAGAGAAACTACCTTCAAGTTTCTCACATATATAAGCACTAAGACTGTAGAATTAATATTGAATTAGGGAATCACACTCCCTGACTTCAAACTATACTACAAAGCTACAGTAATCAAAACAGTATGGTACTAACACAAAAACAGACACATAGATCAATGGAACAAGATAGAAAGTCCAGAAATAAACCCACATGCTTATGGTCAATTAATCTATGACAAAAGAGGCAAGAGTATACAACGGAGAAAAGACAGTCTCTTCAATAAGTGGTGCTGGGAAACTGGGCAGCTACCTGTAACAGACTGAGATTAGAACATGCTCTAACACCATATACAAAAATAAACTCAAAATGGATTAAAGACTTAAATATAAGAGCAGATACTGTAAAACTCCTAGAGGAAAACATACATAGAACACTCTTGGGTATAAATCACAGCACTATGGTTTTGAACCAACTCCTGGAGTAATGGAAATAAAAGCAAAAATTAAAAAATGGGACCTAATTAAACTTAAAAGCTTTTTCACAGCTAAGGATACCATCAACAAAACAAAAAACAACCTACAGAATGGGAGAAAATATTTGCAAATGATGCAACCAACAAGGCAGTAATTTCCAAAATATACAAACAGCTCATACACCTTGATATCAAAAAAACAAGCAACCCAATCCAAAAATAAGCAGAAGACCTAAACAAGCAATTCTCCAATGAAGACATACAAATGGCCAAAAGGCAAACGAAAAAATGCTCAGCATAGCTAAGTGTCAGAGAAAGGCAAATCAAAACTCCAATGAGATATATCACTTCACATCAGCCAGAATGGCCATCATTCAAAAGTCTACAAACGAATACTGGGGTGGAGGGTGTGGAGAAAAGGGAACCCTCCTACATTGTTGGTGGGAATGTAAATTGTTGCAGCCATGTTGGAGGACAGTATGGAGATTCCTTAAAAAAAAAAAAGTAAGGAGGAGAGGGTATAGCTCAGTGGTAGAGTGCATGCTCAGCATGCATGAGGTCCTCGGCTCAATCTCCAGCAATCTCCTCCATTAAAAAATAATAATGCTAAAATAAAATAAATAAATAAACCTAATTACTCCCCCAACAAAGTAAACCAAAAAAAAACCTAAAAAAAAAGACCAACTAACTAAAAATAGACTTATCGTGTAACCCAACAATCCCACT